TGAGGGGCCCATGTTCAACAGTGGACAGACTGTGAACAGGATGAAACGTTGATGATGATGATATAAGCAGAAGTATGCGTAAGTACTCCTTCTTTGACCGGCCTTCTGCGAGGCAATGGGAATTTTGTATAGTATTGTAGCCCATTAATATTTTCAACAGTAGAAGAGCTGACTCCTCCACAGATAATTTTAGTGAAGAATAAAAACGTAAAATACTAAAATCTTTATCAACAAAATTGATTTCAATTTAAAAATTTTCCTCAAATGCGTAAAATAGGAATCAACTACGACGACTACACCACTTATCGGACTGGGTGGTAATCAAACATAATTGTAGCCAATTCACAGCAAAAGTGAATAAAAGATAGATCACTCAATATAATGAGGGCTTATATTTTTTTATAATTCATACCCGGACGTAAAACAATGACTTAGGAAATCATTAGCAAAGGTTAAAGTCTCTCACCATAAATGTACGTCCGCTGGAACTTTCAACGTCGCTTCCGATGGCCTTATGCTGTGTTCGGACAAACGCATTTGTAAGGAACTCAGGCTAAAATAACAATTTGTGTCTGCTCTTTGATAACAAGGAAGCGAGATGAGCCCGTTGCATTTCAAACGAGACGTATCTAAGATGTTGTGTGAATTATCTGACATTCAAAGTTGTACGCTTAAGAATCCAACGAGGGAAGGTCGGCACGTACTGTTTTTTTTATCAAAACTTGCATATTCGCTGTAATAACTAACAGTACTAAGCGTGAATTTATAATACTCTAAACAATACAGACTTCCTCGATTATGTTCCGCCATTGTCTAAAGTTATTTTTCACTCATTGAGATTTTATTTAATATATTAATAATGGTTAAAATTTCCAATGTGACACCAGGATTGTAAATTTTATGAAGGCACATTAAATTCAATGATAACGCTAGAAAAACATAGCCTCTCTGTTTATTCTGTTAAATATCTCTCTCTGATAAATAAGAATCCTTATTTATTTATTTTATACAATTTCGTCACAGTTTTTTTTAAGATATAGCAATCATATGACGAGTGTATTGCATATTTAAATTGGTGCAAAGAAACATTTAACAAATTCTGATGGAATAATCTATTATGAACCTAATATCTTGTTATGTATAAATTTTTCAAGTTGAGACATGTAATTAAGAACCGGATTAAACTCAATCTCCAATCAATGAATAGCGCAAGGGAGTGCCATGAAATAATGTTAAACCATTAAACCCAGGATACCTCGGTACCTTCCGCGAGGTCAGCAAGGTTGTAAAATAAATCTTGTCAGATGCTTAAGGTTAAACTGAATGATTTTTCGGACATATCGGTACATCGAACCGATATGTTTTATTGCTTTCGATGTTGTTTACGGTAACGATGAATAATTTAACGCCGCATTGGATGGATTTGTTCATCGAATATAACTAAATAAAACAAGAAACAGCGTTGGCCTGGCGGGTGGTATATTGACTGCTATGGTAGTGGCTACAACGTCAGGCCTTCGATTTAAGTTTGCATGTTTAAAAGAATTCCAGGGGCTTGCAAAATGTCTTTTAATAGTTTTGGTCTTCATAAATTATAAGTTCTAGTTCTAGTGATAGTTTCTTATACGTTAATAATTGATTTAAGAAATTGTAGCATTTTGTATGGAAACTTTTTTATGGAAAAAGGTACAAATGATCAGAAGGCTCACCTGATGGTAAGTGATCATCGTCGCCCATAAACATCTGCTACACCGGAGGTGCTACAAGTGTGTCACCAGCCCTTTAGGAAAGAATATGTTTTTTTCTTTAAAGTTGCCAGCTCGTAACGGTTCGGAAAGACCGCTGGCAGCAGCCGGTTCTACAGAGCGGTTGTGCTAGGCAGGAAATGTCTCGCGCTGTTGTGGAACGATGGACATTGCGGTGGTGTGGATGATATTTCTGGTTTTGGCGCGATGTCCAATGGTGAAATTCAGCAGCCATCATCAATCGAAACAACACTCCTCGTGATAAATGCGGTAGAAGATGCAGAGTGATCCAACGTCGCTACGCAAAGCCAACGGATCAAGCCGATCGGAAAAACTTTGTTAGTTGTAGGGATCGGGTAAACAGCATTCCATGACTTCGGGACTACACCTAAAGTATAAGAGTGCCGGAAAAGACGCGTCCGAAAACCGGTGCCAGCTGTGGAGCACATTTCTGCATAACTCTGAAGGACATGTCTGCAACACGATCTGAGGGATGCTTTCGGGGCTATTCGACTTATGAATGTCCAAAAAAAGAAGTGCTTTGTGAACTTTGCCGAAATATAAACTCGGGCATCGTAGCGTCTCACCGCAGACTTGACGGTGGTGAGTTTCTTCGTTCATACAAAGTCAAATTGGACGCGAGGAGATACCAGAACGATCTTCTGGGCTCTGGCCTTTTCCTTCACAGCATGGACCAGCGAGTCCTCCGTGTGCAGAGGTGCAGCCTTAACGAGAGACAAAAACGCATGTGTTCCCGACGCGCCAGTCTCTCTCCAATTCTGCCAATGTGCACCGACTTCGCCTTAGCAATAAAACTTTTGAAGAGTTATACTCCTTTTTTAATGCGCTGGTTTATATATTCACTTCGTTCGATTTCATTCGATTCTATTTCTTCTTCTCTGAGAAGTTTGGGGCCATTTGTTGGCATAGTTAGACTTTATATCAGCTTCTCGAAGTCGCCGTAGAATCGTGTCGAAGCTTAGTGTTGTGTTGAAATTCTTGATGCTACGGACTTGAATAGCCGTGAGATGGCGACTGCTTAGCTCAAGAGGATGGTCTGGTATATTTGTGCACTGTATAGTCGTGGCCTAACATTTTTTCGATTTCTTAGTATAGTGCTAACGATGAATCGATTGCCATTTCCTGGTCGTCTAATGGTCATACCGGTATCTCAAGCATAATCATCGCTAGAGTAGTCCTTGAACCCTAGATAAGATTCTCCTAGCAGTACTATGCTGACTTTTGCCTCTTGGGCGATAGTAATATTGTGTGTAAATTCTTCAGATGAACATAGTGAGATAGTGTAATAAATCCAATAAATTGTGTATAATGATAGCTAGGCTTAAAACAAAAGCGAAAAAAGAAAGTTTCCATTTAGAATTTTGTAATTTAAAAAAAAACATATGAATTAAATTTTTTAAGCTTGTAAAAGATTAACTGTTTTCTGATTTATAATAAGCATTATTAATGTACTTATAACACACTATTTATACAACCAATCTAATTAAACATATTTGGGAGATATCGTGATTTTTCTAAGTTACCCGTTAAACGATTTTAAGTGTTTACATTTGAGAGTATTTTAATTATTCTTAGGTGAAAACAAGCAAGTGGACTTAGTGATTCTAAATGGGTAACAAAGTTATTTACTTATAAGTTTTGTACATTATGTGTATTTCAAATTGCGGAATAAATTTTTTAAAAAGTGAGTGTAAAGTTTTTGCTTTTCTTTAAAATGACTATCCGACGACTTTTAAACTTTTAAAAACCTTGTTGGAATTACTTAAAAGTCTTCCTTCGTTACACAAAACAATATTTAAACGCGTCATGCCATTATCTGTTTAAAAACTTTACAACTGTTGCCTTTTAAGTATTGTTAGGGTAATTTCATTTTAATTTTTTATGGTAATTTCATTCGTGTATGTATTTTACATGGTTTAAAATTAAGTACCTACGTGTTCATTTAAAATAAATACATTTTATGCAAGCTAAATGTATATAACATTTACTTTGAAGATATTTTAATATGCATATCACTTTTTTAATCAGTTTGTTTAAACTTAGTATTTTATTGCCAACCATGACGTCACAGTGATACCTAATTCGATTAAGTTGAAAAGTAATAATTTTTTTTAAATACTTTTTATGTCAATGTCTTGGAATATAGGGTGAGAGTATGGGGTATTCAATTCTATTTCATTTACCTCAATATCTATCACTGGCCATTTTGATCGTAAAAGTTTAAAAACCCTTTCGAATTAATAAAATTCTATTCAAATCCCTTTGGTTATCAAGTTAATTAAATGTTTGTTATGTATATACGCGATGATATAAATAGAAATAGTTTTTTCTCTACGCACAACTGAGGAAATAACAAAGACCTAAAAGGTATTCAAAGGTAGTTGTGTAATGGGAAATTTTATAGAAACCCAGTATGTTTGTATATTTGTGTTAAGGACTTTGTTCGTAAGAATGTGTTCTTACATTGAATTTAAGAAGGTAGTTTTCTTTTTATAACATATAGAGCATTTATAATTACATTATTTATGTATATGCGTCACGTGTGTTAATAGAAGACTACTAATAATAATCATATTAAATTACTTTAATCACCTTAGTTATTCGATTCGATTAATTTGTATTAGTGGTTTTAGTTATTTCAATAAAGAAAACTATATTGAATATTTCTTACCCGTCAAATATAATTAGAATAGGGTATACGATTTTAGTGAGCTTATTTAAATATATTCTGTTAACGACATTGTTATTTACTTTTTTATGCACTGCCAAAACTCTTCAATTACTTAATTTTGATTAGCAAGCTTACAACAAAACTCACCTATAACCCTTAAAGATAATCGAAACACTTCTGGTTTCGAAACAGTTGTCTGTAATACGCTTTATGGAGGATTTAAATGATTTTATCTCATACTCCAAATAACAAACCCCTGACGAAAGCTCGAGGAATCCGTAAAGTTCCGCATTGAACAAAGTTAAAAAAAAAATCTCAAGCGATTTTATTCAGTAACACAAGAGACTGGATAATCAAGTTCGTAGATAGTGCGACTTATTTTACCTTACCACTTTTTGTACGCAATGTGCATGCGAGTATTTTTTTGTTTTTCTTTTGAAACGCACCAAGAAAAATGTGTAGAGAAATTGCTTTAGCCTCCAACGTTTAACGGTAACGAATTACGGGCCGTTAACAAGCCTATGCGTTCAGTTATATGGGTAATGCTCTAATAACGTGGGGCGATGATTAGCCGGTCGGGCGGCATCCTTGTAGAAGCCAAGGCCGCACCGCAACGCCCTGATTATTTATCTGTGCCCCGTTTGCTCGTGTACTTTGATAAATACCGAGATATTGAGTGAGTCGGCAGTCCATTTAAATGGCTAAATGCGTCATGTATCAGTATTTGCAGTAATTATAATTGGTCACTATTGGCTACGATGATTCATGCATTTTTGTGAAAAAAGTTATCGGTGTTCTATAATATAGACAAAATTTTCCACAATTGTTTTTACCGTCGATGTTATTTATTGAATAATGATATTAAAAGGTTAAATTTAATTAGAGAAAGAGCTTCTATATTATGCGAAAAACTTAATCGTCAAACTAAACGTTTTACATGTATATAAAATGACGTGCTACCGCAAAACCTCCACTAAAATATCAGTTATGATAGTATCAAAACATAGTTTATTCGAAGTATGAAAAAATGACCAACAAGCCAAGATGTCGGGTCTGTGACTAACGAAAAGAAATACAACACTATTATCGACAAGGTCATTAGTCTGAATAAAAATTGAGCTTTGCTTTATTTTTGGATGAAAATCATGGCCGGCAAAACCAACTTACAACAGTTTTCCTGTTAGCCTTTTATGTAAGTGATTAACTAACAGCCATGAGACTAAATAATTAGGTTAAAATATGGATACGCTTAACACTAAATATCAGTTAAGCTAGTAAACGGATATATAAATTGATTTTTATAGTTAATGACATGTGATACTGCCCTTATTAATATGACTAATGTTGACTTATGTTTTCTTGAGGTTATTTGTAAGAAGAATCGATGTAAGGCTGACATTTCTGATGCCTGTCTTTTGAATTGTTTTAAACTATACAATGATATTATTGTAACGAATGATGTATGCACCATGCAACAAATCAGTATGCAACCTCGAATTTACGATTATGTTTTGATTTTTTTATCCTAAATGGGTGGATAAAGATGGTCTGAAAGATATGAAAATGGCTTTTATTGTTTAAATTTCGTAGGTAAATAACATATCTCAAAATCTGCCTAAGCATAGCAGCCTTTACTGGTGTAGAAATGGGTAGGATCGTCGGGAGGAAGCAACAACTACGGCCTTACAATAGACAAGTTTCTGTTGACTGGAAAAACACGAACTCGAACCAAGTTATTCAATGAGTGTTTGTGTGATGACGTCAAAACTTTACGTAATACAAACAGCATTGATAACGTAATCCAGCAGAGGAGTTCGCAAGGGCGCAGTGGTAATTTAACTAACAGAAAGTACCCGTGGGTGTCCAAACGCATTGTTCGCGATAACAATGGCGGCATCTATGCAATATAACTGAAAATCAGCAAGCAGGTCACAGCAACACTTCGTAGCGCAATGTATGCGATTGTGGCTGTAATTGCCTTCGTTTAAGCATACTAATGGTATGCAGGGTTTTGGGAGTTGCAACATAATCTGCGCCGCCGCGGGTATGCTGTTAATGTATGCGGGACTTGCATCCAGCTCTCAAGGATCCTTTAGTCATCGAGTAAAGGTGGTAACAGCATTGATATTAGCTATTGATCCTTCGTTGCATTCTTATAACCAAGATGGTGATAGCCTATAACACAGCGAGAGAGTTACTCTTCGAATGTGAAACAAGATATTTGTGATAATATATTGGCTTGGGGAAAAAGACTTTTCGCAATTAGTATGTACGTACTTATAATATAATTTCTTTGGCTATACCATTTGTATCTGCCTGGTTTTCATATTATTAAAAAGTTTAAATTTTAATAAAGATAATTCCAAATTCAAATTTGGAAAATACGTGATTTTCATTTGTTTTTTTTACTGTTGAGATGAGTGATTCTAATGAAGAAATTCGATACATTTTAATATTTTACTATTTATGCAAAACAGTTAAATTTACAAATAAGTTCTATAAATTATTCAGTGTGGTAACAAAACTAGTTGATGGATTTGATCGTGTTAAATTTTAATAAGCTTACAAGATTTTTTTGATTTATTACGATATCATAATTACGGATTCCCACACATTTAAATCATTTTGCGTTTATATGTTTTCGAAAATCCTGATTTAAAAGATAAGAATAGTTATAATGTATTAAATAGTAATATATTTTTATTATAAAAACACAATAATTTGGCGGGAATTAATTTCATGTACCTATTATAATTTTCAAGGTTTGCACCATTAACAGTTTTTTAATACGTCAGCCATTCAATTAATATTAAAAAGTATGTAAACAAATACTCTAAAATTGTAAACATTTCTTAGCGTATAGGTAGAGTTTCCCACGTTATATTGTTTCTTGTAATGAGCTAAACCTAAATTCTTGGAAATATTATTGTCACTAGTTGTTAAGCAATTTTTTTATGTAAGAAGGTGCTAAGCGAGCTGATGTGATGTGAGCTGATGTTAAGTGAAAACCGCCACCCATTTACATTCGCAAAACCCGTAGGGTTGCAGATGCGTTGCCACCTTTTAATGAGGTGGGGGTAAAATTTCAGCAGCCCACTACTTTTATATAGCAAACAAAAGAAAAATTTAAACGACAAAGAACTATAGAGACATATCACTAAGTAATCAATTAAAAGAAATTGTTAGTCATCTATAGTTTTCGAGAAAAAAACGTAATTAAATCTTGTTATTTTCACTAAGAAAATCCGTCATTTTACTATTGTCATCATTTTCACATGTAAAAATCTTCCGTAAAACACTGTCTTGTCCACACTTAAAACATTCAATTTTTTTTTATAAGAATTCATGACAACACTAAAAATTAAAAATTACTGAACGATTTGATTCCGATTGGAATAAACTTCTATTAAAAAATAAGACTACTACAATAATGTAGGTATATAAATATTTGATTGATATAAAATGAGCGGGAAATACTTTTGGTTATATATTTGATATAAGATTTAGCACTAAAATTTTGATACAGCCAATATGCTAATATCGATTTCGAAACACGATTACAAATTTTATAAAATCTTATTAAAAGCCCTTAATGTTATCATGGTGTATTATAAACTGATTTAAATTAAATTCTACTTTACGTAACTCAAGCTGATGTTTTTAAATGTGAAAATGTTGACAATAGTAAAATGGTGGATTTTCTTAGTGAAAACAATAAGATTTAATTATATTTTTTATCGAAAACTATAGGTGACTACCGAATTCTACTTGTTGATTAACTCGTAAGTGATATGTCTCTATAGTTTCCTATCGTTTAAATTTTTCTTCTGTTTGCTTTATAAAAGTAGTGGGCTGCTGAAATTTTACCGAGGTGGGTCCCGGCTGCCTAACTCACCAGATGTAACGCAAAAGTGTGACGCTTCCACTTCACGCCGGTCTTCTGTGAGGACGTGGCTAAGATAAATTTAAAGAAACCTCATCATAGTTTAATCAATATCTTGGAAAAAGTTTTATTTATTAAGTACAGACATTTTTATTTAAAAATTAGTGGACTATAAAAATCATTGAATTTTAAATTAAGATTTGATATGTATTAAAAGGTTAAGGAGCTATTCTGAACAGCCTTGAGCATATTCTCTACACAGTTTACATAATTCAACTCAGTTAGTTCAAATGAGTTATCTTTACTTTTTTTTTTTTTAACTTTATTAATAGAGTAATTATATTGTATTTGTCTCAACAAACCACTAAATATGTAGTTATAAGATTTAGGAATTAAATGGTCACTTGCATACTTTAGCTCGCGGTATTCTAGCAAAAGTTCCATTACTGTAACATGTGTTTTAAATGCTTATAGAATTTTCACCGATAGATTAGAGGGCTCGTAGTTTTAATTTTACTCAGGTGCCTACAGTCTCTTTTCTACAGTTCTTGTCTAATGCTTGCAAAATCGTAATCGTAAAAAATAGAGTTTCGTTTGAATTACAACATCACATAGACTACGAATTCCATTCGAGTCCTTTAACTGCGGCGTGAGGAGGGAAGAAACAAACTCATAATTATTTGTCAGTGTGGTTTGGCAGAAAAGACTTTGATAGGCCTCCTAGCAGATGCATGTCGCGCCCCCACGCGTTGCGACACGGCCCGGGATGCTCCCTTGGCGTGACGCAACTCAGGCGCGCGGACGCGTTGCGCAAACGCCTCTTTAGCATGCCGTCTGCGGAGCTTTCTCGCAGAGCGCCGCATTCGTCGAAGCACCCGCGGCCGTTTGTTTCGCTCGACGCGTTGGACAAAGTGCAGGAGGGGCCGTGAAATTGACACGGCGTCTTTGTCACGCCGCATCCTCGGTTGCGGGTGACGAATTACGGACGAGCGACGCAACAGTCTGATACCGATCCATAGGTGGCTGTGTTTAGCTCCTTTTTTTTAGTCAAAATTGTCTGGCGAGCAGGCGGTTCATCGATGTTTTTTTTAATTTATTTTTAAAACACTGCCCTCACTTTAGGATAACATTATCCTTTGTTTTAAGGACGTTTTACAAACATAAATTTAACGAGGATAAACATCCAGGTGCGCAACCGCTATCTGTGCATCACACAAATAGTTGTTCCGTGTAGTAATCGAAACCATGTCCCACAATGCAGACGCCAGTAACTTTGGCAACTGTGGCACGGAGTCATCAGGTGCATCATTAAATAAATACCGCAGTACTCTGACATCTACAACACCGGATGGCTTGCTGAAGCGTTGACAATCTTAAAAAATTTGGGCCCGGGTACCGAACTCATAAGACGAAGATTTGTCTAGTGGAGTCTTGTTATTAAATATTTAACACTAAACTGTGCAAATTATTTTCAGTAAAGTTACAGGTTTATGTGTCTGTGAGTATCTCAGTAAAATATTAATACGTAATTTCGAACTTATTTACTTTTCTAAAGTTAGACATATTAGGTTACTTTATAAATTTGTCAAATCTCAAAGTGAACGGACCTAAAGAGTTGTATTGTCAATGTTATTGATTTTTTTGCAACATGTAGGCTACTTTCCTATAACGAGTTTTTTATTTCATCATAATATTCGTATACGTTGCGGATCACTTGTTTATAAATGTATCCGATAAAACACAATGACGTCAACAACCGAATGTAACTGTACGTTGTTCTGAAAACTTTAACATACGTAACGAGGAAAGGAATAAATTTTGAGTATTCGATATTCATACAGCTCATACAATGACTCCTCTTGAACGGTCCCGTCTCGTTTGTGAATGAATGCCGCTGAATGCTTATTAATAACATAAGACTCCGAGTTACATACGTACGCATGATCTCATCTGACAGGTGAACATAATGCTTTTGTAAGAACATAACATTTCCTTTTCAAACTTGAAATGGACCGTTATTAAAATCTGTTTCAACGACGGCTTTCATATTAACAATTGAAACTTTTAAAACAACGGACTAAGGGGAAAAAGTGTCATGTTACGGCGGAGTTGATTTGTCATAGTTTTTGAATTGCTAGGAACAATTTTAAAAGGAATATTAGTACTTATAAGAAACGCTTCTTATAGCCAACGGAAGCTGTAGATTAAATAACGATACATTTTTTCTGCGATATTTACACGTGTATTTCTGACTTATCAATACAATAAATTCTGATATGTATGTTGGATGAGACATTGATTTTGTCTCAGGCCCACCGCTTTATAAAAAGATTTGATAAAATTGGGTAAAAGTTGATATAGCAGAGCATTAAATATCTATTTACATCTCTTTTTGGAATAAAAATCTTTGGAAAAAAATGGAAGTATAATCACATATATGTTATAAGGAGATAACTGTGAAACTAAGTTTTGCTTGTGTGTGTGAGTTAAACCTTATCGTGCTATTTCTGTTTAGATAAATAAACTTAATAGATAGTTAAATACGTATATTGCCTATACACACTCCAGGTTGTTTTACTGTCTACTGTCGACAGTAACGAATAACAAATCCGTAAGTCTCTGTATAAATTCTCATAGTACTTTAATAAATTAATATTAACACCGCTCTGTAAATACATGGCAATCTCAAAGATATTGCGTGCATCAAATTGACATATATTGCCACGAAATACCATTTTAAATCACTATTGTTGTTGCTTTTTAGATTTCACCGTCTAATCAATTCGAAACAACCTAAAGTGATAAAGCTTGTAAAAACCGGCCAAGTGCGAGTCGGACTCGCGCACGAAGGTTACCGTATCGTTATCTATAAAAACGGCAAAAAAAAAACATGTTTCTTCTTAAATATGTTTTTAGTCTATTTTTTTGTACTTTTTGGTATAGCGGCAACAGAAATACATTATCTGTGAAAATTTCAACTGTCTAACTATCACGATTCATGAAATACAGCCTGGTGACAGACGGACAGGTAGACGGAACCCTAAAAATGACAAAATTGTCTGAGTACCATAAGATAAGAGGGTGACACATTTCCAACTAAGTTTCGTCGACCTTGTAGGTCAGCTAAATGTTTCTTGGTCAACTAAATCTCGTTTGTCGTTGCTGAAAGTCATCAACTGTGTCGAAAATAAAAGGTCTCGTCTGCTGAGGCTCTAATGTTCACACTTCGAGTATGTTATGTAAATCCGTGTTAAGTTACGAGGACGCTACACAAATATACGCGGAGTCGAGCTCAGCGGTCGGTGACCCCTCACATTTTGGCGACTAGAATAACATGTATTTAGATCTTACGACTTTCGGCCACACATCCTCATTTCAAAATGTCACGGATAACTTTACGTCGCTCGGTGGATCAAAAGTCACTTCGGAATTGCAAATAAGTGGCATTATAATATGAAAATATAGTCAAATAACAACCGACATTCATGACGAAATAATTAAAAAGGTATTCAGTTTAAGTGGCGGAATGTCGAATTATGAAATATTACAAAGTGTCGAGTATAATTACATGGTAAATATTCAATTAAAAACGAAACCCAAACTATAGTACATCTAATCTTTATTTCAATTTTAATTCTCATCTAATTTTTAATTTACACAAATACGAAATTTGTGTAAATTAAAAATTAAATGCTTAATATATGGTACAACATATTGTTTACAATTAAAAACCAACCAATAGACTTGGCACTTGTCGTATTATATATAACAGAAAAAAAGTCTTATCGTGTCGTATGCGTGAAGTAAGGATGGGTGGTCACTTAAAAATCACCAGTGTTTTGGCTATCCGTGGGCGAGATGTTATCGGGGATTGGTTATATCGATGTGACGATTCACCGTCTATTCGGAATCCCAATACGATAGGTCAAGTTGCATAATATTTGCTGGCCTCACTCCCCCAGCATATTCCAAGCTCACGTGCGGAATCCGAAGCTGGTTTCCGATTATCCAACAACGTGATAACGTTTGCCAAGATTACAAATTCCTTAGGCTCGACGCATTTCGTAATTTTCCGGAAAATGCTTGCGACAAAAGGCACCATTTCAAGTTATTGTTAGTAGGATTGGCACCCGATTGTGATTTCTTGTTAAAATTCACTGGATAAATTATTATTTTTTGAATAATTTTGTTTGTATCTATATTTTTACTGAATGTTTTCCAATCATTTGATCATCATTGTTATCATCACATTGTTTCACTCTCGATCTCAAAAGGCGCATTTAATACATAGCATTCTCTACAAATTATCATGTGTGTTTTTCATGATCTTTTTTATTAATTGCATAAGTTTTTCACGGCACGCACAATATGGTGATATGTTTACCTTTTTTAATTCTAACATATATGCTTGTAAAAATTCAAAGCACATTGCCTTTACGTAAATACATTTATTTACAGGAGAGAGTCACAAATTCTTGGTTAAAACAAGTTGCACAGCCAATACAACGAGAGGGTGTTGAAAGACCGCTTAAATCAGCAGAGACAATCGCAATTGTCTCAATTCATACTTGTATATTTTGAGATTTCACTTTATACTATGATGATTACATAAATATAATACCTCGAATACCATACACATTAAATTCTGTTATTTAAATATTATGGCTAGATGTAATTATGTGAAATAAAGTCATTTATTATGATTGTTTCTAATTACATTGCATATATTATACACGGTGCATTATTTTTAGTTTTATGTTAATTCGCTCAAATTAGCGGAAAAGATGTGAAAAATGTTGTAAAGTTTTCAATATATAATGTTAGATATATCTGCAATTTGTTACATAGTAAATGAAAGTTATTAGAATTCACGGATAAGTTAAACAATTGCGTAATACGATTTTCCTAGAGAAAGCTTTTAAACCCAAATGGATGGATTGGATCTTAAGCATTATCTTTAAACACTTCATTATTTTGTCTTGTCATGGCTCTCGACGTAGAAAGACCACTCGAAGCATATAGGTTTTAATTAAATATAACTGTACTCAAATTTAGAGTAAAATTTATTTGTAAGTGAAAGAAGTTAAATTCTCGATAAAATTACGACTAGTGAACATCATTGCAACATAACCTCTGTGTCGGACGCCCATAGAATCGCTACGAGTTTTTTATTCAAATTCGCCAGCCTCGTGAAAGTGGTTTACATGCCTTCGCAAATATTAAGCATATGTACATAGTTTCAGGCGGAAGTCACTTTTACCCAAAAGGCACATTCTTACGATCAAACAAAAATGGAATTGAACAAATGTTAAAAGAAAAATAATTCACGGATAATTTAAGAACCAGAAATACATAATTAACAGATCGACTTTTATGTATTTCTGGTTCCCAGTCTGTTTAGATATTCCGGGTTTGAATATTATTTACATCTAAAGTGCATTATGCACAGAAACTAAGAATGCTTGTCCAATGCGTTATTTAGAGTAAAATTAATGTAAGCTGATTGTTAAATATCGAGTCTAGATAAAGAAAGTAAAATAAACCGGTTGCTATTCTACGCAAAACACTGAGTGTAGTTCTAATTCTATAGTTGGTTTTTAACCAAAGTAGATATACCTCACTTGGCCTATCAAGAAAACGTCCTTGCTTTTCTAATTTTACTTCAACGAACAACTTTGTAATTATCACATCAAGCGATCGATTTAAAAGCACCGAGAGTACATTCTTGTAATAATTGAACGTTTAAGAAGATTAGCGAGGAGAAATTTTCATCGCGTGTCATCATATTACAATGAGACCGCAACGTCTAAACAATTACACAATGCCTATTTAAAATGCAAATATCGCACTGAACACAATTATGTCTCCACTGACAACATTGTAATTTATGTTTCTCACAGAGGAAAAGATTCTCTAGTGTTTAATA